GTTTAAAACATCCTATCTAGCTAGCTAGCTTATTTTCGCCTGTTATTTTTCTTGGTGATTTCATTATGTTCAGTGTTGCAAGTTTCATTGAAAATCCGTCAGCCGAAGCGCTGGTCGGTCTTACTAAAGCCCAGTGGAGTGAGTTAGCCGCTCATTATTGCATCCCTTCTCGGTCATCCTTACGGAAGGATGAAATTCGTACTTTAGTGACTGAATATTTGATAGAACACCATGTGCTGAGTGAGGATGAATTAGAGCACGTGTGTCCTCGGGATGTCACGGTGGCCCGCCAGTATGAACTGGAGAGCCGTAAACTAGACTTGGAGATGTTTAAGGCAGAGAATGAGCGGATGCGTCTCATGCAGAGACCCAATCAGGAACGTTATCCTCATTTTCGTATAGAGGATGCAATTAAATTTGTTCCTAAATTTAATGAAGCCGAGCCAGAGTATTTTTTCATTCATTTCGAGCGAGTAGCTGCCTTGCATGGTTGGCCCGAAGATAAGTGGGTATTACTAGTACACAGCGCATTTGTTGGCAGGGCACAAGAGGTTTTCTCAGCTCTGGATTTGGTACAGTCACAGAATTATCATGTTGTAAAAGAGGCTGTGTTAAATGTTTATAAAAAGGTACCAGAGGCTTATAGACAGGATTTCCGCAATTGCCGTAAAGATGGTAAACAAACCTTTGTTGAATTTATCCGCCAAAAGCAACTTTTGTGTAAAAAATGGGTCGAGAGTGAACTTGATGCACTCGAGTACGATAAATTACTTGAATTGTTTATACTCGAGGATATAAAGAAGTGTATGCCTGTAAAAGTTCGCTCTCACATTGACGAGCGTGGTCTGCGCACATTAGCCGAGGTCGGTAGTGCCGCCGATCATTTCGCTCTCACTAATCCGAACTACTCTTGCAGATCTAATGAGCCTTCATTCCAGTCAAGCCAGCATAGTGGTAAGAGGATGGAGTATAGTGCCAGGACTGAACTGCCAGATACCCACAGGACTGTAAATATAAAGTCGTCAGAAACAGGTGGGGGGAGTAGGAATGTTGCTTCACGCGGTAAGAACTTTTCTTTTTGCCGTTATTGCAAGAAACACGGTCATGTCATGAATGACTGTTTTAAATTGGCAAATAAGCGTTCTGACAATAAACGTATTTTTCACGTCAATGCTAATAGGAGGAAAGAGGTTACATCTATCTATCATGGTAATAAACCTGATCTTGACCTTTCCCCTTTTTCCATAGCTGAATCTGTAAATGTGACGCCTTCATTTAGACCATTTTGTTCTACAGGATTTCTTAGTGCCGATGAATCGTGCACGTCTTCCTCCCCGGTCACTATACTACGGGACTCGGCTGCAAATATATCATTGGTGCTCAAAGAGGCTGTTCCTAACCCTGACTGTTACACTGGAGAGATGGTAATTATTAATGGACTGATAGGGTCCAAGAACATTCCCATTTGTGAGGTTTACATTAAATCTGACTTGATATCTGGATACGTAAGATTAGGTGTTGTTGATAAGATACCAAGTGATGGCATTTCCCTTCTTATGGGTAATGATCTAGTTGGTAATAAGGTGTGGCCTTGCCCTGTAGTTTTACCTAGTCCCACTAAGGAAAACAATACAGTAGATTTAGAGAGGGAGTACCCTGACCTCTTCCCCGCGTGTGCTGTCACCCGCAGTGCCAGTCGTAGGGCCTCCCATCCTAACAAAGCGGTTACTCCTGATAATACATTAACAGAGGAGAGCCCAAGTGAGGTAATTACAGAGGAATTCACACTAGCAGACTTCTTTAATTCATCAGCTAAAGTTTTAAGTCAGCCTGCATCTGACCATCCTGATATAGTGAATTTCAAAGCCACTCCAATTACTAAAGAGAAGCTAATTGAAGAACAACACAATGATCCTGATTTAAAAACATTTTATGATAGGCTTACTGACCTAAGTGATTTAGAAACTTCTCATGTGTGCTACTATCTCCAGTCGGGCGTTCTTATGCGTAAATATAAGCCATATAATATATCTGCAGACGATACAAGAAAGACTGTACATCAGATTGTAATTCCTAAGTCCCTTCATACTGACGTTTTGAATATTGCACATGACATTAGTGGTCATTTGGGAGTCAAGAAGACTTATTACAAGATTTTAGCTCATTTTTATTGGCCCAAAATGAAGAGAGATGTTAGTCGTTATTGTCAGTCGTGCCATATCTGTCAAGTAAAAGGTAAGCCAGGAGCTGGCATCAAACCATATCCCTTGCAACCTATCCCAGTGTTAAGAGAACCTTTCAGTAAAGTAGTTATTGACTGTGTAGGTCCCCTTCCCAAGACTAAACGGGGTAACAAGTTTTTGTTAACTATAATTGATGTGGCCACCAGATATCCTGAAGCTTTTCCCCTCAGACGCATTAATACTAAGAATGTTGTGAAGGCCTTAATAAAGTTTTTCATGCAGGTGGGTCTTCCTGCCGTAGTACAGTCAGATCAAGGATCGAATTTCACGTCCAAACTGTATGAAAACGTTATGAAGTCCTTGGGTATACAGCAGTGCAGGTCTAGTGTATATCATCCTCAGAGTCAAGGGGTTGTTGAAAGGTTTCACTATACTCTAAAGACAATGATAAAAGCCTTCTGTTTGGAGACTGGTTCTGAGTGGGATGAAGGAATAGATTTGCTTCTATTTTCAGTTAGGGACAGTGTTCAAGAGAGTCTCGGATATTCACCATTTCAGTTAATTTACGGCCATGAAGTGCGTGGACCACTAAAAGTCCTAAAGGAGTGTTGGTTAAATGAAGAGGAAGAGATTCCTATAGCTGCATATGTTAACAAATTTAAGAGTAGATTACAAACAGCTATTTCAATAGCCCATAATCATTTGGGTAAAGCTCAGACGAAAATGAAAGAACATTTTGATAAAGTAAACAATTCTGAAGAAAGAACTTTTAAAGAGGGGGACTTAGTTTTAGCCTTGCTACCTCTTCCTAACCAGCCTCTTCAGTCTCGATATGCAGGGCCATTTCGTATTTTAAAACGAACCAGTGATACGAATTATGTAATTGAAACACCTAAGAGGCGTAAGAAACAACGTCATGTACACGTGAACCTCCTGAAAAAATACTATGAACGAAATGATTTGAAGGAAAATGTACGAGAGGTTTCAATAGTTGTACCTTCTAATATCAGTAGTGAAAATAATGAAACTATTCCTATTGTGGAGCCTAATCTCACCAATTCAGTCATCTTAGCTAAACCTGATGATAAACTTAAACACCTTTCTGCTGCCCAAGCAGCAAACATTCGTTCTCTTCTGCAGGAGTATGATAAACTATTCAGTGATGTACCACATCTCTGCCCTCTGCTGGAACACGATGTTGAGACTAGGGATGCTAAATCAGTACGCCAAGCTCCCTATCGCCTCAATACCGAGAAGAGGGCATTCCTGCAGGCAGAGATTCAACGTCTGAAAGAACAGGGTATCATCAGTCCCAGCCTTAGCCCCTGGGCATCCCCTGTGGTCCTAGTTCCCAAGAGTAGCGGCACTTACCGTCTATGCGTGGACTACAGGAAGGTGAATGCGGTAACTGTGGCGGATTCCTTTCCTCTCCCGAGGATGGACGACATCATTGATGATTTGGGGAGGGCACACTATCTGTCGAAATTGGATCTCCTCCAGGGGTATTATCAAGTCCCGTTAACCGAGAGGGTGAGGCCGATTTCTGCGTTTGTCACCCCGGCCGGCCTCTACGAGTTCAGGGTTCTTCCGTTTGGGATGAGGAATGCCCCGGCAACCTTTCAGCGACTGATGAATTACCTGACGGCGGACCTGGAAGGCGTTCGCTGTTACCTCGACGACCTCGTGATCTGGAGCGAGTCATGGGAGGAACACCTCGTCCGCCTGCGTGCGCTCTTCTCGGCCCTGGCAGACACCAATCTTACGGTAAACCTGCAGAAGAGTGAATTTGGACACGCTCATGTCACCTTCTTGGGCCACGTGATCGGTCAGGGCCAGGTCGCACCTGTCGCCGCAAAGGTGGAAGCTGTTCTGCAGTATCCCGCGCCCGTCGACCGGAAGGGCTTGATGCGCTTCATGGGGATGGTCGGCTACTACCGAAGGTTCTGTAAGAACTTCTCGCAGGTATCCGCACCTTTGACAGACTTGCTGAGTACGAAACGGACATTCAGGTGGTCAGATGATTGTCAGCAAGCCTTTGAAGACCTGAAGCGCCTCTTATGTACCGCCCCCGTCTTGCAAGCTCCTGACATAAGTATACCGTTTACGATACAGGTGGACGCCAGTGACAGTGGTGTGGGAGCGGTACTCTTACAGAGAAGCGGAAGTGAAGTGCTCCATCCAGTGTGTTATTTTTCTTATAAATATAAGTCTTATCAAAAGTCTTATGCCACCGTCGAAAAGGAGGCTTTAGGAATAGTGTTGGCCATTGAAAAGTTTAGAATTTATTTAACCAGTTCTATCCATCCAATTGAAATTCTCACTGATCATAATCCGTTAACGTTTATTGAAAATGTTAAGTTTAAAAACATGCGAGTGTTAAGGTGGGCGCTAACATTGCAGCCATTCAATATAAAAAAATTTCATATCAGTGGCAAACGAAATATCATTGCGGACGCACTCTCGAGATCGTAGGTGGTGTGGTCTGCACTCAGTGGCCGCTGACTCGACACTGCGAAGGACAGAGGACAGGAGTATGCTACCGTCGCCCGTCTAGTGAAACAAGCTGTTACGTTCTAAATAGTTAGATAGTTAAACTTTTTCCCGTGCGGTAAAAAGTTTTTTTTCTTGCGGGGAGGAGTATTACAGTAAAGGTAATCATTATATAATTAGCACTACTGTTGACTACGCTAACAAGGCAGTTCGAGCATTAGCGTTCGTCGCCCCCCCCCCCCTTCACCGTCTTGCCTTGAGTTCGTGGGGGATCTTGCTCAGTCACTCCTCCTCTGCCATGGGCCTGGGCAAGATCTTGCTGCCGTT